CAAATCATACTATATGAATATTCAGAAAATAAAAGTGTTTGTTTTAATATTAAAATTTGAGAAACAGCATCATTTCTGGTATTAGTTAAGTAAACAGATCTTGAGACTGACTGCAAAATTAACAAGGTCATATTGCTTTCTAATTTGTTAAATCTGGAACTTTCCAGTATCTCTCTGCTTCATCACCTCTTCATCCCTTTTTAAAATCTCTTTGGGAATCCAATTTCCCCCCTTGCTTCAGCTATTCTCTCTCTTTTATTTATTAAATTGTGTAACTTCGCTATTCACTTCTAAATAATACAGGAGTGACATTCACAGAGGAAAAAATAGTATCTGACATTCTGTCTTTCCTGTCCATTCACTATAATGTAGAGGTGGGCTACATTTTTTTCTGTGAGAACAGCCTATGAGTTGCAAATTGGGTCTGTCAACAAAATGAATCATTTTGTGAAAGGGATTTGGCTTTAATGTAAATTGCACCAAAAGACAAAGGAGAGAAAAAATAGCTAGCCACTCCACCCCATATCCTTCTCCAAAAGATATTCTTTATTTGGAGATGCTATTGCAGTGTCTCGGGAGATTGCCTCCTATAAAATCTCTTCTCTGCACTTCAGTTTTCTCAGCTAGTTATACATTATTTTGTGCACTACATAAAATATAATCCAGATGGAGTATTTGAGCCCTATGGGAGAATTTAGTACAATCTATGGCAAATATACAGCTTGGTATGCTTAATACCGCTATTACGGTACAAGATGCCTTTAATTTTTTACATTTAACTGTGAGGGTCTAGAGAGAAAAGGAGGAGGAGAGGAATAAGCATTTCCCAGTTCAACGGCACGGCTTGAGGTGTAGCTGGTATGGTTTATACCCTATGTGTTGTGTGATTCCTTTCCTATGAGGGAATTCTTACAGAAGGACTCAGCTCCACTGCAAAGTTGTGACAAGGATGGGTCTTCTTATTCAACTCCTCCCTCCCATAGGACATGAGACCTCTTGGTGCTGGCTACATAGACTATGGTTTCCTAAATCCTTTCAAAAAGTAAAAGCTTCGGTCAGTGTCTGAGTAAGAGATATATATAAGATGTTAAGTATAAAGGAACATATCTAATACTGTTAGAGAGGAAACAGAGATTATATCGACATCTGGAGTCTGATTTTGGAAGGAAAAGACAACAGTGCCTATGAAAGATTTCTTTTGCAAGCAGAGCATGGTTTGTGGAAGATATTAAAAAGGGCTATAGAACAAGGCAGACACACTGCATCAGCAGATCTAATTTGCAAATATTTAGTGTCTACAGAGACTGCAAAGACAGTCTATCTAGAAATTCTTTTCAGAGCAGATTTTGATCTCTAGGGTCAAATATTTAATGGATTCTTTGTAAGGCCCTGTAGAGACTCACTTTCATCTAAGGTGACAAATGCTGCCAACTGTATAGTTTTCAGAATGATTCATAATCTAATATAAAGGAGATATGTCAATTTACCAGGCTGAACATACCTGAACATACAATATTCATTCAGGATCATGATAATCTATCTCCGATTATATCACATAACTATCCAAGCTACAAAAAAAACTTTATATCTTTATTGTAATAGAAACTAACAGCATCTTAAAGTAAATTTTCAGGATTTTTTTTCTCTCATCACAGGCCAAATCAGTTTCCTAGTTATGTCTTAGGTCGGTTTATACTGCATAGTTGGCTGAAAAGCTGTAGAATGGAGTGATCACTTGCCATTCAACAAGGGTTTGATATTTTCTCAGAATATCTGCTTTTAGGGACGGTTAAAAAGGTAAAAAATATTTTTGGTTTTTTTTGAAACTATGATTGTGATTATTTTTGTAACAATACAATAGAAGAACAAAAATCAGGCAAAGGGTGCTTTAAAGAACAGTTAAATTAGTCATCTGTTTAAATACATTTTTTACATTAATGTATTTGGTTTTGATGTTTGCTCTTACTGGTAACTTCCTAGCAAACTTGCCTTCTCTACTTCATTCTCTCTTATTTAGCAGAGTCTTTCTTGGCAGAAGGGTAAATCTGCTTTTCACACTGAGGTCATGGATCTGATCCTTCAGTGCTTTTCTGTGGACAGCTCTTACCGCACAATAAAATAAAAGTTTCATATGTCTTTCTCATTCTTCTTGACTGCTTGTTCCAGATAGGCACTGAAGTCCATATAATCTGTGTTCATCATCACTAATTTTTCCTATACTTGTAAAATTGTTAGAACCAGTCCCACCTGTTGGAGTATTCATAGCATTTTATTATATGGCTACTTGATTTTTGGAAGCTTGTATATCTTTCAGGAAATCTTGGGAGCACATGGAGAAATGCCTTCTGTTTACAAGCCTTGGAATTCCTGATGATTACAATTAAAGAAATGCAGTGCTCTCCTGGAGTCCCAAATGCCTTCCTGAAAATTTTGCAAATGTCACCAAGGAAACTTACAGGAAACAGAAGTTCATATTTATAAAATTTTACAATCCTGCAGAGTTCTTCACAGCTTCACAAAGATACAAAACTGATGCAAACTCTTGAAACTTGAAAATTGAGTGTTTATATTTGATGGAGACATTCACTCTCCTGTACTATATGTAAGAATAAAATCTCTCATTTTAGCACAAAGGAAAGGCAAACAGGAACAGGAATAGGTTAAGCAGGCACTGCAAAGTTTGTTCTGTTCTACTGATTAATTAATGTGCATGTCAGTATCTAAGGCAAATGGATATTGTTTTCTGTGTTTTTATTGCCTCATTAAGAACTTAAGAACATTTCTGAACTTTTCGTACCTAGATATTCTTACAGTAGAGGGATGTCTTTGTGATAAGTTCATACTAAATCCAGTATATAATTATTTCACATTTATCACCTTTCTTGTAGGTTGGAAAACTGACACTACTGCCATGACTGCTGAGAATGAGTGCTGATATTTCTCTCTTTTAGGGTCTCCGTGAAGCCTGAAATCTTGAAAGATTAGCTTCACTTGCTGTATGGGCGCCCAGCAATACACAAACTGTGCTACTTTGATATACAGAGTTTCAGGGTGAAGAAGAAGGAAGCTCTTATTAATATTTTCTGGTTTTGAGGTAGGTCCTGTCCTTCCCCCTTTTTTTTTCTCCCCTCAATAAGCAAATTCCATTTGCATTGGGCCACTATACTTATCCAGTGATAGGACTATCTATATACTGAAGTGAGATACAATCATATTTTTATGTTAATACTGCGGATCAGCAGAGCATTCTGCAGTGCCCAATCATCAGTCTCTGCTCTAAAATCTGTTCTCCAAGAGTGTTCTGGGCTTCTTAAGAATCTGCCACATGCCTAGTTCTCTGCCTAAACAAGTGCTCTTCGTATTGCCTGCTTCTTATTCTGCCTATTACGTAGCAATGCCCGAGAGCCTGTTCTAAAGAAGAGATGTATTCAGGAGCTATGCATTCAGTTCAGTTAGAGGCTTAGGGAGAACACAACCCCTGTGGAACAGCACTAGAGTATGCCAGCAGTGCATTTATCTCCCCGCAACTAACAGAGAAGAAAAGATCGTAGTCAAAAGATAACCCTTACCCATTTTCAAGGGTGAATACAGAAAATGGTTCTTTGTTGGGAGAAACAGATAGCATGAATTGTGTTTACCCAGTAGGTCATGAGCTCTGTGTATCTAGTCCTGCTGCAAAACACACAACAAACACTTAGCAATACACAGACCTCTAAGGAGACTCAGTATTGATCTTGGCAAAGAAACCCTTGATAAAAGATTTTTAGAAATTTAAGCTTTATAATTTAACTTCCTTATGAACGTTTTGATAGGTTGATTTTTGTGTCTTTCCCATCCAACTGAATCTCACTTTTTTTTTTATTAAGTTGATTATTATTTTACTATTAACAAACAGAACAAGGGCAGCTCAAGTCGCAATATGGCTTACGATGATAATGGATCAAAACCTGAAGGACTTACATTAGTATAGGAGACTAAGATTTCCTTGCTTTAGCTAGCAAATATTATTATTATACCAAATTCTTAGCAATCTGCCTTCTTCCTCTAACTGTGCAATTTCATTTGTTTGGATTTTCTTCCCAGCTTGCCCTTTTTCTGCTTCATTACAGCTGCATAATCTCAATTGGGAAGTGCAGCCAAGGAATAAAAATCTCAGATATTTACAGAACCTAAAATCCCTAAATCTTTCTTTCATGCCTTGACTTATATTTCTCTTCTTTGTGCTCTTCTCACAGTCCCATTTGTTCCACTGTGACTTTTAGATGGGGATAGAGAAATAGTAAGAATGGATTTAGCAGATTAATGTTTACGGAACGGACACCAAAAATTCCTGCAATGAAGGCACTGATTAGTACTAAGTTCTCTACTGGTGCACGGCCCAGTAGCCAAGCAGGAACGACCAAACTTGTTTTGGACTGGGGAGAGGTAGACCTCAAGGTAGGCATTCCCAGGAGATGCTGTGTGCACTTGTAATGCATTCTGTCACCCGCTTTTATGTGAGATCGCTTAGCCCCCAATTTCTACGTGTATGTGCCTTGAAGTTCCTATTTCTTGTAACCTTTTGCAATCCTCTAAGCAAGGCTGGTGCACTCTGTCATTTAGTCACGAATTATCGCTAAATTATGCCACCAAATATAATCACATTGACATTCACCTTAATTGTACTGTTTCATTGTCACTCCAATGTAAACCTTTCATGGCCCATAAACCAAAATATGGTCAAGCATATAATCCATTTATCCATGTTCATAAACATTGCTATTATGAGACAGGTATACTTGTGCTTGCCTGCTACTCTATTCGACTCTGACAGGAAACAAGATAGGCATTAACAAGCCAGAACAACAACAAAAAAATCAGTATACAGTAAAATATCTACTTACACAACATTGTATGTGGGATCAAGTCAAAAGTTTAAAATATTTTTTTTAAATATTAAAAATATGCAACATACTGTTCTTTAGGATCTGAATTTGGGTGATGCTTTAAGTGAGACCTACTTTCTCATAGTACTTGATCTCGTAGTCCAGAATGGCTCCATGGGGAAAGTCCGGCTCTTGCCAGGAGAGGGCAATGCTGTTTTGGGAAGCCCAGTCCTTCCTTACCATACCTATCAAGGAGGGTGCTGAAAGGGAAAAGGATAACTAAGGGTTAAAGACGAAGCACACTCTTTATCCTTTCAACCTACTACCTCACCGTAGCAAGGCAAGCTACCTCTGAGTGACCTACAGGCAGAAAAGCATGACAGATGGCAATTCTCAGGGAAACCATACAACCTGGAATTAATGCCTCAAGTACGTACCAGCAACTCTTTGTGAAAGTGCAGACCAACTTCTGAGAAAAGACTGTACAAAAACAGCACTGGCTCTCCCCAAAGGAAGCACCTGTTAACTGAAGGCTGTGTGTTTCTTTGGCTTCATCTCTCATCAGTGGGGTAGGGACACGGGTGCAGGTACCTGGTGCTTGAGGGGCTCAAGCTGTGGCCACCTTTTGTCCTATGAGCCTGCATCCAGCCCCAAAGCTGCTGCCGCCTCTGAGGACATGGTGTCCTGTGTAAAACCATGCTTAACAGACAGTAAATCCTAAATTCAGGATTAATGCGCATCTGAATGCACCGCTTTAGAATACAACTGGGCACAACATACATTCAGTTTACTCTCCAGAATAAAGTGATGTAACTTAAAACAAGTGCAACAAACTCTGCTTCAGCTAGCCAGGCTGGCAGAAGCAACTGCATTTTAGCAGGTCAGTGCTGCAAACTTGTTAAAAGAGGCCAGTGGTAGTTTTTCTGACTTTTTTCTTTTTCTTTTCTTTTTCTTTTCTTTTCTTTTTTTTTTTTTTTTAAGAAGATGTTGGGCTATCTATGTAATAATTTCTGCTGGTGCAAAACTTCTATTCCAGAGCATGATCTCTGCTTGTATCATTAATCTAGTCAAGTATGTGAAAAGAGGTCTAACATTCTGTAGATGCTAGCAGTGCTCTTATAGCATTGCTCTTCAGTTTCCCTAAATGCTACAAGCAGTCACACTGTCAGACAACCTTGAAGACAACTGAAATGGCTGAATAAATCAGCTAACACATAGCACATCACATAGCACATAGTTCTGCCCAGCTTTCTGCGACCGATAAAGTTCTATCAAAAGGAAAAATCCTCAAGTTGCTCATAGCTTTCTCTGTTTGTCTTTTCAATAACATACATCAGTTTATTCCACACCCTTTCCTATTCCTCTCTCAACTATGAATATAACTTAACCTATTCTAAGCTCTTAAGAAGCTATCTCTCCAAAAAAATAACACATTTTTATGATTTTTTTTAATCCTTGAAAGAAATAGTCACCCTAAGAAAGATGAAATAAAAACCTGTTTTTGGTTACAAAGTATCAATCCTTTCTTTCCTTTCCTGCAAATATTTCAGGAAGTTTAGTAAATTAAAACAATAAATAAGCTCTAGAATACAAACAAACTACTCAAGAAAACATATTTTCTTCAAAGAAAGAAGGGGTGCTCTACACATACACATGCACATACACATCTCTTCCTATGTGACACTGTATCTATCTGGGAGAGAAAATAAAATTCTACACTGTGTTACATCCTCCCAGTGGGTAACTGTTGTGAGGTTTAAAAGTCCAGTTGCCTCTGGTGTTTAAAAAAGGAACAATCTAGAATGTAACATTGAACTGTGTTGCAAAACCTATCAAAAATTGGTACACAATGGACAAAAAAAAAAGCTTTTAACCATAGCTCTGATACCTGGGAATGGAAGAAAAAAAGAGCACCTGTCATGCTAAAGGAAGGATTAACCTGTTGTTCAGGGAGTCCTTTAAGCAACATAATATAATTCAGTATATAAATAAATATAAATTAATAAATACAAAGCATTCACATGTTCTGGGCCAGAATGTTTCTCCTAGGTATGTACAAATAATCCCTCAAGCTAAAATGAATTTTTTATACTAGAAAACTGAAGGTGAACCTGAACTCCAGTAAAATTACTCTGGGGTAAAATCAGCTCCTTGGAGCAGAGAATAAAGGGCTGTTGAAAGGAAATTGTAACCTAGCTAACACTGATTCATACCTGACAAACACTAAAGGGGCCTATGAGGCAATTGCTCATACACGTGCTCGTTGCTTGGTGTTATTCCCTGGTGCTGTGAGGATACCAGAGCGGGTAGAGCCCTTTGCACTGCACGTGCTGGCTCACGTGCGAGGGGCGTGAGAGCGAGCAGGCCCTGTTGAGGCCTCACTGCATCCTCCTTCATGTGTGTGTTCACTAAGGCCCCGCTGCATCTCCCTTCACGTGCGGGTTCACTAGGGCCCTGCTGCATCTCCCTTCATGTGCGGGATCACTAAGGCCCCGCTGCGTCTCCCTTCACGTGCGGGTTCACTAGGGCCCCGCTGCATCTCCCTTCACATGCAGGCTCACTAAGGCCCCGCTGTATCTCCCTTCACGTGTGGGTTCACTAGGGCCCCACTGCATCTCCCTTCACGTGCAGGCTTTCTAAGGCCTCACTGCATCTCCTTTCACGTGCGGGTTCACTAAGGCCCTGCTGCATCTCTCTGCACGTGCAGGCTCTCTAAGGCCTCACTGCATCTCCTTTCACGTGTGGGTTCACTAGGGCCCCGCTGTATCTCCCTTCACGTGTGGGTTCACTAAGGCCCCGCTGCATCTCCCTTCACGTGTGGGCTCTCTAAGGCCCCGCTGCATCTCCCTTCACGCGTGGGCTCTCTAAGGCCCCGCTGCATCTCCCTTCATCTGCGGGTTCACTAAGGTCCTGCTGCATCTCCCTTCACGTACAGGTTCACTAAGGCCCTGCTGCATCTCCCTGTATGTGCGGGCTCCCTAAGGCCCCGCTGCATCTCCCTGCACGTGTGGGTTCACTAAGGCCTCGCTGCATCTCCCTTCAGGTGCGGGTTCACTAGTCACCTAACCAAATCCATGTGAAACAGTTGGGTTTGATTACAGAAAGTCCCAAGTTGAACTGTGGATGCATTTATATTGTGGTCCTCCTTGGCTTTTTAAATATAGATTACTGCTATGATACTACTGTGGATGCCTCTCAAATTATGATTTAACCTTGTGTATTTCTTTCCAATATTCAACAAGTGGAAGGTTCTGACTTTGGTAGGTTCTTTGGGTTCTGACTTTCTAATTTATACAGCAATTTATACATTTATATTTGATTTCAGGCTGAGCTCACTGCAGTATCTCTACCAGTTGAGCAAGCACATGTCAAAACACAGTCTTGGCTCAACAGATGATCATCTCAAATGTTCCCTATCAGAAGTAGACTATGCCTTCTCTGAAACAACTCAGCAGCAAAATATTGAAAGAAAATTATTTCAGCCCTCTTGCTAAACAGCTGTGCGTGACTTGCACGTGAAACTGAAAATCCCATACAACAAGGCTCACACTGCAGCTCAGTGCCAGTACTGCACTCTCTGAACCAAAATGCAGAGTAAACGTGTGTCCGTAAGTTGGTCAGAATCAGAACCATATTTTGTGCTTCCAGTAGAGTATTGGGGGAAAAAAAAAAATGAAAACAGTAAAATTCCCTGAAGAAACGTATTTGGGGGAAAAAAATAACCCCCCAGAGGAGCCACACTACCCATTTCTTACATGTTCGGGAGGATGACTCCTGTGTCTTACAAAGGTTATCTCTGCACGTCTTAAAGAAAATAATAACTTAGAAAAGAAAGAAGAAAAAGACAGAAATGAATTGTATGAAGAAATGGACAAATTAAAACAAGTAAGGAAAAGCTGTAGCTAGCTCAGTTGTTATTTCTCTAGCTTTTGTGAAATATGACTAAAAGCAATACTTTCCAGAGAAACATATTTGCTTCTTAAAACTTTTGCTCTAGTGAGCAACTCTTATTTAGACACTAAGATCCTATTCATTAGGAAGCTCTTTTTTTTTTACTGGGAAATGTTAAGACAAGTAAATCCTATTTGTCAAATGGAAGTACTCTTAATTAGTCATTTTAAATCCACTACCTGCAGGAGAGCTTTAACTTGGTTGCCCAGTGAAACCATAAAATCAAAAATCCTTAGAAGCACAGCATGGCTTTTAATCACTTTAATGGCAGTATTTTCTTGCCACTGGTGCTAGGCTGAAAGATGGCTTTTGGCTCCTGAGCTCAGTGCTGATCTCTGTGTTGAACTGAGGATTCCTTGCACCATCTGCTCTCTGTTTTCCTCTACTCCGTTAAAAATTTCTGGAACAACAATGAGTCATCTACAATGAGTGCTGTGAGCTTCTCATTTAATTTAGTCTGATAAGTTTCTTTTTTTCAAAATTGTACTGAAGAGTGTTCACTCTTTAATTCAGAGTGAGCTTATTTTACTCAGAATTTTTGGTTTCTCTTCAAAATTTCCTTCCTCATACATTACACAGAAGGCAGAAAACACACAATTTTAAATGATAGGTGGTTAGAGTGCCACAGAATCACAGAACAGTTGAGGCTGGGAGGGATCTCTGGAGACCATCTAGTTCAACCCCACAGTGCAAGCAGTTGCATAATGCAACCCTCCTAGAGCATGCTGAACAGGTAAGTTTTGAAGATCTCCAGAGAAGGAGATTCCACAACCTCTCCTGGCAACCTGTCCCAGTGCTCTGTCACTCCCAAAGTGAGGAAATTTATTTCTCATATTCAGATGTAATATCCCACGTTTTAGTTTGTGCCCGCTGTCTCTCATCCTGTTGCTGGGATCCACAGAAAAGATTCTGGCATAAAAGAGTTGTCTTTACACCCTCCTTTAAGGTATCTGTATATATTCATAAGATATCCCCTTAGTCTTTTCCTGAGGCCAAACAATCCCAGCTCTCTCAGCCTTTCCTCATGGGACAGATGCTCCAGTCCCCTGTTCATTTTCACAGCCCTATGCTGGACTCTCTCCAGTGGTTCCATGTCTCTCTCGTACAAGGGAGACCAGAATTGGACACAGTCCTCCGCTTGTGGCCACACTGGGGCGGAGTGCAGGAGGAGGAGGATGATCACCTTCCAGGACACCATAGGCCTTCCTGGCCAAAAAAGCACGCTGCTGGCTTATGATCAGTCTCTAGTCCACCAGGACTCCCATCTCCTTCCCCACAGAGCTGCTTTCCAGCAGGTGAACCCCTAGGC